TCGAAGGGCTTCTCTCCCGTGTGAGTTTTAAGGTGCGCCCCCAAATTACATTTATGAGCGAACGTCTTGAGGCACACGGCACATTCGAAAGGCTTCTCTCCCGTATGTGTTCTGAGATGGGTTCTCAGATGACTGCTTGTAGAGAACGTCTTGTGGCACACGGCACACTCGAAGGGCTTCTCTCCCTTGTGTGTTTTGAGATGGCTTCTCAGAACATCGCTTCCAGAGAACGTCTTGTGGCATTTAGTGCACTCGAAGGACTTCTTTTCCGTGTGTGTTTTGAGATGGGCTCTAAGACCACCGCTTTGAGAGAACGTCTTCAGGCACACGGCACACTCGAAGGGCTTCTCCCCTGTGTGTGTTTTAAGATGGGTTTCCAGATTACCGCTTGCAGAGAACTTCTGGTGGCACTCAGTGCACTCGAAAGGCTTCTCCCCTGTGTGTGTTTTGAGATGGGTTCTAAGACCGCTGCTTTGAGAGAACGTCTTGAGGCACACGGTGCACTCGTACGGCTTTTCCCCCGTGTGTGTTTTGAGATGGACTCTGAGGATATAGCTTCGAGAGAACGTCTTGTGGCACTCGGTGCACTCGAAGGACTTCTCTCCCGTGTGAGCCATGACAGAACTTCTTGTTGCACTCGCGGTGCACTCGACGGGCTTCTCTCCCAGGTGTATTTTAAGAGGGGTGCTCAGATAACTGCTTGTAGCGAACGTCTTGTGGCACACGGCACACTCGAAGGGCTTCTCTGCAGTGTGTTTTGAGGTGGTTTCTCAATTGGCTTCTGAGGTAAGCTGATTCTGCAACACAGAGCAGATAGATTTTACAATTAATTTAAGAAAATCGAGAAGCGCTGTAAGATACCTTTTTATCAAAATCTAAGAAAAGCGGCTTTGATAAGTCAGTTCACTTCTAGTTGACGAGTTGACGAGTACTGTTATAAAAACCTAAGGGTTATTAAACAGAACAAAAAAAAAAACGTTAACGCTAACGCTAACGTGAAAGCAGATGACTTACACGTCTAGCGTTGAGCCTTTACTCCAAACTCACACGACTCGAAACCAACAACTAAGAACGTGTTATAGTGCAGCAATGTGCACGGCGCTGGACGCAGGGCAGCGTTGAACGTTAGTGGCGAACACAGGGCAGCGTTATGATCGCGAACCAGCGTTTAACGCGAACGAGGGGCAGCGTTCAAACGCGATCGCGGGCCAGCGGCCAGCTGCGTTGAACGTGAATGCGAGCAAGCATTGAACGTGAGTGCGGGCACCGCGCGCAGCGTTCAGCGTTTACTCCAAATAACTCTCGTGTAAGACTCTGAACCAACCACTAAACCGCGAGCGTGGCTGGACGCGGTGAGCGTGGCGCATCGCGGCAAGCGCGGCGAGCGCAGCGGGGCGCGGCGGGGCGCGGCGGGGCGCGCTTAACCCTAACGTGAATTTAACGCATCGGCGTTTAACGCATCGGCGTTTAACGCATCGGCGTTTAACGCATCGGCGTTTAACGCATCGGCGTTTAACGGCTTGACGTGGTATTGAACGCGGCTTTGAACGCGGCATTGAGCGCGAAATTGAGCGCCACGAGCGTGGAGTGACAATCGTGGCGGAGCGCGGC